AAGATTTTATTTATTTATCTGAGATAGAGAGAGCAGGGGCAGGGGAGCAGCGGGAGAGGGAGAAGCAGGCTCCCCGCTGAGCAAGGAGCCCGACGACGTGGGGCTCAATCCCAGGACCCTGGGATCATGGCCTGAACTGAAGGCAGACGCTAAACTGACTGAGCCACCCAGTCGCCCCCCTCTTTATGTTTAAAAAGATATATACAAGTACCCATCTTACCAATTCAAATCTACATTAAGTATTTAATATTTTTTTAATGAAGTGGGACATTACTTTGAATATATGCCTAAATTGGTTATTTAGATTCTAAAGGTATTTTTCTTTAAAATATGATAATAAGGGCGCCTGGGTGGTTCAGGTGGTTAAACGTCTGCCTTTGGCTCAGGTCATGATCCCAGGGTCCTGGGATCGAGCCCCATGTCAGACTCTCTGCTCAGAGGAGAGCCTGCTTCCCTCTCCCTCTGCCTGCCGCTCCCCCTGCTTGTGCATGCACACACTCGCTCTCTGTCAAATAAATAAAAATCTTTAAATAAAAAGAAAAGAAAATATGATAATAAATTGGAAAAAAATTTATTAAGTTATTGTTACCTCCACCCTGAGCTATACAGAAAGAGGCTGAGCCTAAAAGAAATGCTATTTATGTGGTTATGGCTGCTATTCAGACCAAAACCTATTTAATACTTTATATGACGAATTCATCAAAGGCTTTACTTCCAAGATATTTGGGTAAATTACAAGCAACAAATGAAAATCTTGGCAAACCACTGCAAAAATTGTTCTCAACTTATCTTGTGGTGTAAAGTATATGGGGTGATACTGACACAAAACTGTACTAGAATTCTATAGATCAGAACATGAGCTTTTTTCCCCAATTTAATAATTCAGAGATGACAAAGCAACTATAAAGCTAAATAGCCCAAATCACCTAACTACTTTCTACAACTGTCATTCATGCCAAGGAAAGAAATTTCCAGGGGAAAAAAAGCTTTCTTCTAACAAGGAGCCTAAATTATCAATGTTGGAGTTTAAAAAACAAAAAAATGAAGAACATTTAATTCTTAATTCCCTCTAAATGTTGATTTTCTAAATTGTAACATTATACAGTATTACTTAGTTCACTGATCAACTCCTTTTGATTTAATATGACTTTGAAAACAATACTCGTTTCAGAATGTAATAGTCTCCAGGCTGAATGCAATTCTATTTTCCAAAGACTAATGAAATACCAATTAAGTTTTGGCAACATGAGCTTCTACTGAATGCTCTATTAGTGTATAGTGTGTTTAATGTAATATAGAATCAATCACATACGCTGTTAAAATCACCTTTTTGTAATTCCTTTATTTGATACATATTAAGCTCAATACCACCAATAAGGAATTATGCTTAGGTGCTGTGTAAAAGATAAAAATAAATACAGTAGAAAACCCTACATTCTGGTAAATTTCTTTTACATACAAATAATTCCAATGCAGATCCCTATGCGATACATGCTAGAGAAATGGTACAAATGGTCTTATGTTCACATGGAAAAAAAGTTACTTTTGATGTGGTAATCAGGTAAAGGTTTCAAGAAGGAAGGAGTGCAGTGAAGTGGAGCCTTTACTATGGGCAAGCCTTCAGTGAATATAAGGAGGGAGAGGACGCTGCTAAGGCAAAGGATAGCAGGATCAAAGATATGGGAGTGCAAGGAGACAGCCAGCATACACACAACAGAGACTACTCTAATCTGTCTGGCAGAAAACATATACACATTCCAGGAGTGCAGAGCATAAGGTCTGAAAAGCTGTGGACAATCTTTGAAGGACTTATCTGATCAAGCTACAGAGTGTGAATATCATTCTTACATCATGGGAAGACACTGGAGACTTCTGGGAGCATATGATGTAATTTAAAAAACACTCCAAAAAGATGGCTGTGGTGACAGTATGTAGCTCAGAATAGAACGTGCAAAAAACAAGGAACAAACAGGTGAAGAGGCTCCCTCAGTAGTTCACCTGAGAAAACCAGGGGATAGTATCCGAAATAGAAAAGTAGAAACAGGGGCGCCTGGGTGGCTCAGTCGTTAAGCGTCTGCCTTCGGCTCAGGTCATGATCCCGGGGTCCTGGGATCGAGCCCCACGTCAGGCTCCCTGCTCTGTGGGAAGCCTGCTTCTCCCTCTCCCACTCCCCCCGCTTGTGTTCCCTCTCTTGCTGTCTCTGTCAAATAAATAAATAAAAAATCTTTAAAAAAGAAAGAAAGAAAAGTAGAAACAGAAAGAAAAAAGCACAAAACTCAAGTGACTGACATGAGGTACAAAGGTAGAAACATGAAACACTGAGATGTGTAGCTCAGAATACAAGAAGAAGAAAAGTCAGGAAAAGAGCTGCTTGGGGCAGAAGATGGACTGCTCTGAGACATTACTACAGACAACACACAGTAGACAACATACAGTACTGTAGATTTACCCACAAAAAAACAGTGGAAGCTTAAAAAAAATAAATGTACCATATGTTTTGATTGGCCACATTTTCTAATCTTCTACTCAAATCATGTTTAAATTTTGAGTGCATTTTGACCTTGCTGAACAAGACACAACTTGGGTAACTGAATTCCTTAGTATGATGCCAATAACATAAACAGTTTATAAGTATGTAATACATATGTACATAAATACATAAATTTGACAGTATATAACATCTGTTAAATACTTACAGATTTTATAGCAGTTACTTTGCTTCTCAGACTTTCAGTGAGTCTCTCGTTTTCTTCTTCACAGGCACTATAGCCACTGTTAGCATAGCCATAGTTCCCATAGTTGCCAGGAGGTGCTCCTTCACCTGCAAGGATCAGTCACAGTATAGTTGTAGCAAAAAACAAGCCACTTTTGAAACCTTGACAGGAAAGAACCAAAAAAGACCCCTGGAGGGCGTTGCAGACCACGTATGTCTGTAATATTCACACTTCAAAGGAATTTTTAAAAATTAATAACCAAATAGAGATCAGAGCAATTCTTTCTAATGCCCTCTTTTACACAAAGAATGTTCAATTCATTTTTATACTTACTTACTGCTTATTGATTGCCCACAAGACACTAAAATAGGCACCGATATACAAGGATATTCAGGATACATTCCCTGTTCCCTAGAAGTACAAATTTTAAAAAAGGATCTAAAAGTAGTAGCGTCAACTATCTATTGAAGAAGACTGGCTATGAAGGAAAAGGGAGAAAGAGGATAAACATAGCAGGAGGGAGCTCATGGCAAAGGGGGGTCCTTTACTGGTATCTCTTTCTTTTAAATAGAAGAGAGCTGGAATAACTTATGGAGAACATTAGCTGAGAGTTAGAGGGACATGCATTCATTCAACAAATATTTCAGAAACTCCTATGTGTCACATCCATTTCTCTTTCTAGGTACTACTGTTGGGAGCTTATCTTCTAGGGAACTGCACTGAGAATACATAGTCCCAGCTACTGCCTCATAAAGTACTTGGTATTTATCAGGCAATCAAACAGGTGGAGTGAGCCTTGGAGAGTGAATCTGTATATAAATGTGCTAGAGGACTGAGACAGGAAAGCATAGTTGAGGGTGTTGTTTAACCACTTTTTTTAAAAAAAACAATTGATACCATCAATTTTCTCATAAAGGAAGAGATAAGACTGTCTTTAAGGAAGGGTATCATTTGGAAAAAGCAATAAAGAGAATAATGGGGGAAAATGACTAGGACTACATGGGTCCTAGGGGGATAAAATGATCCTGGCTGAGGCAACATACTGTGGTGGTGTCAATCCTCCTGGATGTGTGATTTTTCTGAAGAAGTTCTCATCAGCAGAGTTAGCCTGTGAGAATCTGGATGGTTGGATTGATCAGGAGTTTGATCAAGAGGTTTACAGCGTCGGGGCTGAAGAAAAGAGCCCCAAGAGGCTGAGATCGCTTGCCAAAAGAGAAGGTAAATATATGGAATGTGGGGACTGCAATGGACAGGGATAGAAGCAGTTTCAATGGAGAAATGAGGGAAAGGAATGATACAGGGACTAGGTCTTTGTAAACTCAAAGAGTAGATGAAGCAACAGGGACAGTGAAAGATGGAAGGACAGGAAGTAGCAGTCAGTGCTGGTAGTTGAAGATGGTTGAGGTGTAAATAGGAAGCTCTTTCAAGACATGGCACAAACCTCACTTTCTCTTAAAGGCAAAACTCCCTCTGATTTCTTACAGCTCTTACTGTACACAATAATATCACACTCTAGATGATACTATAAGGGCAGAAACTAAATTTGTTTCACTCATGGCTGTATATCCCCCACAAAGTATACACACACAAACACACACAAAGTAAGGCACACTCAATAAATACTGGTAAATGAATTAATAAATAGAATCTGACTTCACTGTTTCAACTTTGAATGTGCCTGCCTTTGCCAAGAACGGAATCATAAACTTCTTTGAGGGCAGAGACAGTGTCTCATACTTCTTCTATATCCCCTGTACCTAATGACTATATACAGCAGACACTTAAGACAATTCCCACCACTACAAAAACCACAACAAAATGTTAAACAGGTATGTTCCGGAAGTTGCATTCCTCAAATTTTCCCTCAGTTGCTGATACACTATCCATAAAACTCCAAATATAGTATGAAAAGTTGTAGGAAAGCTAGTGAATGCCAAAGATCATCCTCAGTCTTTATCCATTTAGACAAATGCTACTTCTTTAGGGTAGTTTCTATCAATAACTGAGCCAAGTCATTTAGAGATTCATGGGAAGTGTGCCACATGAACATCTTCAGTTTATTTGTCCCAAGTTTAAAATTCCAGGTCAATACAATCTGGTACTTGAAAAAAAAAAAAAAAAATCCAGAATAAAAAAAATCACATTATACCAATGTAAATGATAGCAAAAGACACTTAAGCAAGCATCTCTCCACTCAACTACAAGGGAGCTTCCGGGGGGGCGGGGGTGGGTGGAGAAGGAGGCTCTATCCTAGAGATTCTAATATAATTAGTCTGGGCTGCAGTCCAGGTATCAGTGCCTTAAAAGCTCTCCAGGTGATTCTAATGTACAGTCAGGGCTGAGAACCACAGCTTCTCAAGTCCCTTTTCTGCAATTTATCATGGCACACTGCTGCACCAAAACATTCAAGGGAGCCAAAGGGCCTATTAATGAGATCTAAACTCCTTGGCCTGGCACTCAAAGTATCTCCTCAATGGGGTTCTGGTTCCATGTCTCCTACTTTAATCACACTGGCTTAATAATAATCCCTTATACACACCATTCCTAATTCTAGTCCTACAACTTTTCGGGGGTACGAGGAGGGGGGGGATGTCTTGCTTCCAACTGGAACTTGCCTCTCTCACCCTCCATTAATCAAGCTCTGGTTCGAGTTTTTATGTCTCTACAAAGTAAGCAATGCTCTCTCTCTGAAATCCCTGCGACACTAGCTGTATAACTTATTTGCTATTTGTATGTGCAACTATCACCTTGTACTATGTTCCTACTCACCAACTAGACTGGAAGCTGTGGGAGCACAAACAGGGCCACAATCAATTGTATACCTAGAGCTAACTTTAAGTACACAATAAATGTTTGTTATCATTCATAGCGATAAAAAGAAAAAAACATTTAGGCATATAAAACTAAACTGCTCTATATTATTTTTTTCTCTACAATTTACTTGGCCAAGTATTCATAAAAGTTTTATTTTTCAAAAGCTCTTTCTCATACTACAATTTTTAAATCAATGAGCAAGTCTAAAGTTACTGGCAACTTTCACCAACTTTAAATACCTGACACTTTTGAAAAACTTTTTTATTCCTTTTTCCATTTAATTGTAACCACTGAAAAAGGTAACATTACCTTTTTTCAAATACCCCACTTATTTTCTCAGGTATGCTGTACGCTGATTTAGCAGGGTTTTTTTTCTTTTCTTTTTAAAAATAGTCTCTTAATAGAGAGCTTCAAAACCCAGAAAATGCTGTTTTATTAGCTGTACGTTATAATGGCCCCTTCAAAGTCCTTGTGCTTGGTGAACCTGTTTCCTAAGTTTTCACAGTGGAACAAGACTTAGATAAAAAATGTTCTGGGTTTAATGGCCTTTGACCCCCATGTTACATACTACAGCCTTTAACAATAACGACAGGTACATTTACCTTTGCAATTCACTGTTACCAGATTAATATGATTGCTATTAGTATGCTTCGCATGCAACATTCATTCTTCAAATTTTGCTTCTGAAAAAACTAACATCCAGGACGAGTGGAGTACGAGACACCGAAGCCAGACTTGAGGAAACTCAGGAGGTTTCGTAATCACTCTCTGACAGTCGATAACACTAAAAAACTTGGTAGTTCAGTTGGCACCTGTACATACCCCACCCCCATTCCCCCACTACTCTCTATAAACCTGCCATTCAAACTTGGGACTGAACCAAACTAAAGGAAACCCCTAAGATCTGGTACAAATGGTGTGTTTCTACTTGGTTCCGCCTCCAAAGACCCCTCCATACATCCTGCTTTCTGGCCCAGATTCCAGTGACGTAAGACTAGTCCGATTTCCTTCCGCGTCCCCGCGCCCAGCACGGCCGGTTCTGGGGCCCCCGAACTTCGAACCTCAGCCCTCTTCTTACCCAGGCCTGCACGCCTCATCCTGCCAGAGTAGGGAAGAAAAAAGCAGATGGAGGGGTGGGTAGGAAGGGGCCAGGGTCCGCCGGACAGCGTCCTCAGTACCAGGGCCCAGAGAAACACCAACTTCTCTCCCCAAAGCGCCACGACATCACTAGAGTCTAAACATCGCGCCGGCTGATGGCGTCACCCAGACACTTATTGCTGCCTTGCGAGGCGGCTTGAATCGCATTCTGGGAAATGTAGTTCACCGTCGACGCAGGCAGTGAGACCGGGGCGTGGCGTGAACGCGGCTCCCGGAGCGGGCGGGGCTTCCGGAGAGGGGCGGGTGCTGTGGGGGCTCGGACTCAGGGTTTCTGGACGTTGGGTCTTCGCCGCTGGGCCTGCGGCAACCTGGACCTTACTCTCAGTGTGTCGCCCCCCCACCCCCGAGTTTAACCCCGTAGGTCTGCCCTTCTCAGACTTTGAGAGGTTGGTTGACTAATCTTTCCTGATTCCTCCTCTTACTTCCTCTGACATCTAGAGTCAGTTCAGGGAAAGTCCAGGAAAACTTTATCCAAGTTTCTGATCTCACACATAAGTCATCTGGGACCCACAGAACGGAAGGAAGAGGAGGGTAACAAATTTGTGCTGGGTCACCCAGTAGAGAAAACCAGGTCCCGTGGATTAAGACTCATGCGCGGAATGAAGCGGTCAATAGAAGGAACAGGGTTTCTCGAGGCACTAAAAAAATTAGTTCCCTGTTACTGGATTGGTTGTATTTCTAGAAATAACCAGGCAGGGCCATTAGCTGTTAAGGACGAAGGACCCCCTAAACTCTCTCCCACTTAGACCTTTTAAATGTACACAAAGAATATGGAAATGCTATTTACACATGGTAATGTGCCAATGTAAGGGTCTAAAAGCCTCTTGGCAGGGGTGGGATGGTACGGGAATCCGAGTTAGTCCTAGAATATCATTTTATCTCACAGGATTATCGTGAGGATTAAATGAAATAACAGTTTTTTGGTTTTTTTTAAATCTGATACACAGTAGATGCTTAAAAACCACTGGGTGTTTGCGGTTTTGTTGTTGCTGCTGTATGGCAGTGGAATAATCTCCATACTAAAGATTTCTGAGAATGCAACTCTGATAATTTTAGTGGTCCCTCATAGTTTCCCAATATGAACATTGACTGTAGTAGTGGCACATAAATCTGTCTTAAGGTTGCACACGAAAACAATTTTTAATAAAAGTAATTAACCTGGGAAATAAACTGGGGGGCTTGATCCCAGGACCCTGGGATCATGACCTGAGCTGAAGGCAGACGCGTAACCATCTGAGCCACTCAGGTGCCCCATGGCGTCCCTTTTTAATTTACAATCTGTGACAGTCCCTCCTTTTGTTTTTTGTTTTTTAAATAAGACTTTATTTATTTATTCATGAGAGACAGAGGGAGAAGCAGGCTCCCCAAGGAGCAGGGAGCCTGATGCGGGACTCTATCCCAGGACTCCGGGATCATGACCCGAGCCGAAAGCAGACGCCCAACCATCTGAGCCACCCAGGAGCCCGACAGTCCCTCCTTTTGTAAAAAGTACACATGTTCTATAAACAAAACATGTCAGAAAAATCATCTTACTGAAAGAAGGCTTTCTCATATAAAAGTCCTTTTTAAAAACATAATGTTAAGTTTACCTAAACAGACCATTTAAATTACATGTGTACTTGTCCTCTTATAAGCTACTTCCCTTACGTAGTAGGGAGATATGAGAAAATAGCTAAAAGCGGGGGGGGAGGGGGGGAGTAATAAAATATAGCAAGAATAGAACTCAAGACAGGCAAACCTGGTTTATATTGAGCTCGTGACCTAAAAGTCCAAATATAGGCAGTTGTTTATGGCTACTGTTGCCAGTCTCAAATTACGATGGTAGCAATTGAGAAGAACAGGCATTCAAAAGATGAATTGGAAAAGATGGATTTTAATACGTAGAAGAATAGTTATTACACGTGACCACAACTGACAAGACTACAGGGAATTCTATTTTATCATTTATCATTTATTTTTATTATTTTCTTTTTCTTTTCAAGTTAAAATGCCTAACTCTTCTTACTGATTGAAGATGAACAAAATTCTTCGAGATAAATAGCATTTTGAAATTTTTCTCTATTCTCATAGGAAAATTTCATAGAAACGCTTAATCTCTGAGGGTTTGAATGACTGAATGACTAAAGAAAGGAATGATTAAAAATGACTTAAAATAAGTATCCCTAGTAGTCATTACAGAAGCAAGAAAATGAGTAGGAAATGTCTGAATCTTTGTACAAAATTTGAAACTTATTTTCCCCCTGTATTCTGCTTCCTGTCCATATGTCCTGCCTCTTCCTGACTAGGGCTAATCCAAAGGACAATAACCCACCAAGCTCTCAAATAAACATTAACAAATTTTCCAATCATTAAGCAAATTTAGTGTGTGTGTGTATATATACATATATATATATATATATGTATATATATGGGGAAAAAGAGCTTATAAGTTAGTTATTTGGCACTTAAAACACTTTTCTCCTGGATACAGATGATGGTAAGTTTCCCAACCCAGCCCTAGCAAGCACGTGGTTATTGAGGCTCTTATGCTGGCCAAAGTCTATGTAGCCCATCGTACAGCTGAGATACTACATCTTTTCAGTGAAAACCAGTAGGAAAAAAAATTGTAATCATGATAAAATAAGGCAATATCATTGTAGAAGAAATAGAATTTTAAAAAAAAACCTATTTTTGTTATTGTGTTTGGGAAGGTATTAGTTTTACTCAAAACTTCTTGAAAATGCCAAGAAAATTTTCAAGGAGTTGTCAAAGAGCCACAAATTTGATCTTTCCTTTCCATAACTCAGGAATATGGTGCTAGTACTGATGTAGTCCTCTCAGCCATAATTAGTAAAAATGAAGCACACAATTGCAACTGAAAAGTCTTCAGCAGAGCCAACTGCATGATTTATGCAGCCCAGTGCCAAACAAAAGTGCAGTACCCTTCATTCAAAGAGCAGGAAAAAAGTGCAGTTAAAGGTACTAAAAAATAAAGCTTTTTTCTTTTGTCACAATGTCTACCACTTACCAACTTATCATGTTTTCTTTGTTATTTAATGCCCTTCTAATTTTAAAAAAAGGAAATGTTAAATTATTAACATGATTTTTACCCTTCATCTTTACATTGTGCAATGACACAGTTTTAAATTCACACATGAGAGCATTTAACTCATATGTGAAATTACCAAAATCACACAATTCGGATTTCATAGCTCATATACGAGTATGTATTTTATAGAAGTACTGTACAAAACTAACTCAACTGTTTTTATTCCATGTCTTGATATGCACTGTGTCTTGATACTCTACTAACACATTACCTTCAGCTTACTGGTGAGTTAGGAGGGATTGAAAAGAAAAGGAATTATGGGTTGCTCTACCTTTTCCTTTCCTTTCCTTTCCTTTCGTCTCCTCTCCTCTCCTCTCCTCACCTCTCCTTTCCTTTCCTTTCCTTTCCTGTTACCATTTTCAATGTAACAGGCTAATACAAGGAAGTCAGATGAATAAGGAGGAATATGATAGAGATCCTTGGATATTTTTTCTTTCTGCAGAAGAAGTGCTAGTTCAAGAAGAACATGTGGCCCTTTGGGGCTGTCAGTACCCACACTTACTAAGTCACAGACTTGACATGCTTATATTCATTTTGAGTTTTCTGAACTCCCATGCATTATGGGTCCACTGGAATTCTATGTTCATGGGGCAAGGCAAATGTTACGTGTGAATGGGGTGGTAAGAAACAATAAATATGTATATTGCACATATCTCTTTTGCTTATATGCATGCTCCATTGTTCCGTTAGACTTCATTTACAAAGGGAGAGAGTTAGCGAATATAGAATATATACCCACAGGGAGAAATTGATCAAGGTGAAATAACTATGTAGTGTAATTCACTGGGAAGCAAGAAAATGGAGTATACCTATAATGCCCCAAGTCAAAAGAAAAAAAAAAAAAAGCAAAAGGAAAGAAGAAGGAGGGGAAGAGGTCATAAGTTGCATCGTTCTCCCCAACCACCCACCAAGTTGATTTTTGTCTGCAGTAAGTGGTTAATGAGCCATAGATGAGTGAAATGCTTGTGACTTGGCATGTACAGGCAGTAGAAAAAATTTCCTCAAAGCAGGCACAATCCCAACAACCTGAGTGATGAGGTGCGATCCCAGAGATGAGGCTCTATCTCGTGTTTCACTCCAAGATGTTTCACTCTTCCAGCAACTCTGTTGTGTTACTAAGACCTCATTCTGGGAAATGATTCCTCCCTGAATGTCAGTTAATCAGTAATTTTGTGTTGTTGGTTTTTCTTTTCCTTTGAGTATCTGAACCTACAGTAGAGCTAAGTTTCAAAACGGGCACTTTGCATAGGCTGCCCTTTTAATATTCCAATTTTAGAGACATCTTTGACATTTCTAAAACATCATTTCAGATTAAAGACGATAGGTTTAATTTCCATTGCCTAGAAAATATTGGTGTACATTTTAAAAGGCTCTGCGTTGCCTATATTCAAGACTAATTTAGTCAAGTTGATAGTCATTTTATTTTAATAGCATTTATTCCTCAAGAACTGTATTGAATTATACTGATACATTCAAAGCACAAAAGGAAAAATGAAGTACACAATGTAGTTTTATTTGTGCAGCACTGTTAGACACTTTGACAGACATGTTATTTAATTACTTTGCTTGCTGACTTGTTTTTTCCCAATAGTACAGATTAGTTATGTATATTTGGGAGATCATTTTCAATAAGCTGTTCAGGGGTAGAAAATGCTATCAATTGTCATGTAGGAGACAGTCACCTAATATTTTTGTTGTATTGCACACAGTGGCCTCACTACTCTTGATTTCTAAAATTGGGCCAAGACTATGTCACAAATGTACCCAAGTTGTCTTATTTCAGTTTGCCTTAGTTTATTACATAGGAGTACTCTGTAGTCAGAGCCTAAAAAAATAAGTTTATCACCTTGTCCGTTATTAACCATAATCCCACTGTCAGCTGCAATGGTCAAATGTTTATATCTTCAATATTTGGTTCCTTTTATTCTTACAGACTGAATGTAATGGTTTCAGAGCACTACATAACATTAAAGTGATTTAAATCATGAACCAAGAATCATACTGTTGGACA